CCTGCCTCAGGCCTGAGCCCGCTGCTGCACCCTCTTCCTGGTGTCAGCAAGCCCTGAGGGGGGTAAGCCCGGCATCCCAGGGACAGGACAGAGCAACGGTTGGCAACCTTTTCAAACCAAAGAGCCAAACTACATCAAACTTCAGAACAAGTGGTCAGCAAAGAGCCATGTAAGAATGCCCATTTGCATGACTGGAAATATGCATCTTAAAATTGTTGATAATTGACATGATTAATAGCAGCATAAATGAAACATTGAACTCAGATTTTATTTAATGGGACTGCTGCTGCATCTTTTTGCACATTTATTTACATCACAACTGGTCAAATCAGGTTGTCTTCTGTCAATCTTATGGCAGGGGGCTGGTGACATGGGGGGTAGGACTCTTGGTTGGGATGGGGGCATGGGGCAGGAGATTGGAATATATGATGGACTCAGTCTCAGAGCACAAGGTTGGGGGATGAGAAGGGTGCAGGAGTGTTATAACAGGGAACCAGAGATGTGGGGATGTGAGGGACTCGGGGCAGGGGGGCCGGTCAGGTGTATGATGGGCTCAGGGTTGGTGTGTGGGTCAATGCAGGAGTGTTATGACACTGCGGCCAGATGGGGCCTGGGACCCAATTGTGGGCGTGTTGGCCAGACTTCATTTTTAAATAAGGTAAATATTATGTCCAACACAAAAGGTTTCAATATTGTCTTTATTTATAGCAGGAGTGGGGAATCTTTCTTGGGTCAGGAGCCACTGACACACAGAAAAATCAGTCAGGGACCACACAAGTGAAAAAAAACCCACACCTGAATCTCGAAACCCAGTGTAAATAAGTATTACCTGGAAGAGCAATTAGTGTGTACATTCCCCCTTTCATTGTTAAAGGGGGCTTACTTAAATAATTCATTTGAGGGTTTTGATCCTGTTTGTGGAGTGGGATTTCAGGAAGCTGGGCCCAAACTGCACTTTCCTTGGATCTGAAGGGATTCAGTGTCTGTACTGCTACTTGGGAGGGGGGGGGGGGGCATTGATCTCAACTTGGGGCCTTGGCTGAGGGAGACCAGCAGAGCTGGTCCAGCAGGACCAGGCAGTGAGAAGTCCCAAAGAGGAGGAAGATGAGTTTCAGTAGCTTTGCCAGTACTCCGGGAAGCACCCCAAGGTGACCTCGCCCTATCACAGGGAAGTCAGAAGAAGAGTATTCCTCTTTCGACTTCCTGCTGTGTAGACAGCGCCAAAAGCCGAATTAAGCTATTTTGACTTCATCTACACAATTCATATTATATTTTCAATAAACATGCCATATTGTCTTTTCCCATGAAAAAGATCCTGTGTATTTCTTAGAAGCATAAAACAGATATAAATCTGTAATATAGGTATGGCCTTATATTACAAGGATGAGAAGACACGTTCCTTGCCCTGAAAATTTTATAATGTTAGGCCTTAATGCTGTGTGATGATGTGCACACCTCATTCTCATCAGAATGGAAGATGGCCTGAATCTCAGAATGCGTTCAGCATTTTTTCAAGATTTAGCCTAGGAATAGACTTTGCAGAATTTGATTTTATTTATATATGTATTTATTTATTAGTAATTTAAACAGATAATATCAGTATTGATTTTAAGGATTTTTTAAGATATTTAAATTTTCAGTTGCACATAATTATGGGTTCTAAGCATTTTTTTTATTTGTATCTTTTATTTTCACTGTTGTGGGAAAATTATGGGAGAGAGCAGATAATAATTACAACAGTAGGGATTGAGATGCAAAAAGTGAAAGCTTTATAAAACACAAATTATCATGGAGATGTGGTTCTGCTATTGCTCCCAGGACTACTTGTTGTCCTTTGTGACCAGTAATGACACCGACAACAGTTTTACATCTTTGTCTCTGTTTACACTGCAGGCTTCTTGTGCAAAAAGCTTTTTGCTTGGACTGCATGGACGCTCTCTCAAAAGAAAGCACTGATTGCTATCCACAGGATGGCCACCAGGGCAACTATGCTTTTTCCTCTTTCCTGTTTTTGCACAACCCTCCCCCTTGTTGCCCGTCCACACACACCTTTTTGCGCAAGAACACTTGCACAAAAAGGAGTTATTCCTCGTAGAAAGAGGACTACCTACACTGGAAAAACCTCCATTCTGCTGTTTTACTTGCGCAAAAACACGCTTGTGGTGTGGACGCTCCGTGAGTTTTTGTGCAAAAATGGCTGTTTTTGTGCAAAAACTATGTTGTGTGGACTTAGCTATAGTGAGCAAGGCTGTGGCTAAAATGACCAATGCCTAAGCAGTAGTTCTTTCCACAGGAAATGCATAGGTACCTTGATGCAGGGAAACAAATTGTAATTTGTACCTGCCACTGCTTATGACATCCTCTGTGTCTCAAAAGCCATAAAGTTTTTAATCCCAAACTGCGTAAACCCACTGTTGACTACTGCTTGCCAACAAGAACTGTTTGTTGCTGACAATTCCCAGTTACCAATGTTAATGTTTCACTCTCAGATTAGGTTTCCATGTGTCCTTAGAGTATTTTCTTCTTGCCATTTTGTATATGGTTGCTCACTTTCAGTTTGCCATACAGCACCTGCTTTGGCATTCTTATGTTATACAACCCTAATCACAGCCCAGCGTAACTGTGATGTGATAAGCATGGTTTCAATCCCTGTGGAATGACTACATTCTAAGACCTCATTATTAGTAATTTCATCCTACCATTTGATGCAGAGTATGGCATGCCAATGTCATAAATGAAATTTATCTAGAAGCTTGATATGATGCCAATAGCAGGTCCATATCTCTCATCTATACAAGAAGTAGGATAGCATAACTGCTTTCTAGATTTTTAACATGGTTTGAAATTTAATGTAAAGGGACCATGTCATAGGTGGTCTGGGCCAGTAATCACAGCTGGATTAGGTTTCACACATCCAGGGCAGTGGTCAGTGAGTAGGAGTCACTTTGTGTCCAACACAGGTTAGCAGAAAAGAGGGATTAAAGCATAAGCGTGCACAGCACATTTCATGAGGGTGTGCACCCACATAATTTTTTAAAATGTAGTCTTTGACCCTCATTAGCCACACCTCTGGAGGCAACACTCTAGGGGCAAGATGGACACATGACCAGAAGTAAAAGGTGTCACGTGACACCCCCCCCCCCAAGGACTTTCCCCACCGTCCTCCTACCAACAGGGATTAGTTTGGCCCCCACCAAACCCGCTGCATGCAACTATCCTGCAATTGCATTAACCCAATGTATGTGACATTAACTCGGGGGCGGAGAGGCTGGGGGAAGTGTTCCCTCTAAGAGTTTCCTCCCATGAGCAGAATGAATTTTGTGTGTGCACCAGTACTGAGTTCATGTGGCTTGTTTGGATGTGCCACTGTGGCACCCAAGTTATTAATGAATATCTTATAAATGTGTACCTTTTCCCTCTGCTGCCATGTCTCCTCCCCTTGCTCCATCAGCTCCCCTGGTGCCTGCTGCCCCCAACCCCTCACCCTCCTCTGCTGTCCTGATGCCTGCCCTTCTCACTGCCCTCAGCCTTCCTGAGACCTCTGCCCCCACCCCCTCCCCCTCCTCTGCTGTCCTGCCGCCTGCCCTCAGCCTTCCTGAGACCTGCCCCCTTCCACCAGCCCTTCTCTCCCTCCTGCTGGAGTCTGCTGCGATCGGACTCCAGAAGTCCTTCTGTGTACACTCCTCCAGTAGCCCCACTCTGATCACGTGAGCTACCCCTCTTCATCCCCTCTCTTAACACCTCCATATACACAC